CGCGCCCTTCTCGGCCCCCACCATGAGCAACCTGCCCAAGGAGAGCGAGCACAGCAGCAACAGCCTCGAGGAAGAGGTAAGAAGGACCCACCCGAGGGCGGGAGGGCGCGACGGAGGGCAGGCAGGAGCCCGGCTTCCCCTCCCTCTTTAACCGTCGGGGCTGCTTTGAGGGCGCTGGGCTCCCGCCTCGCGGGCCCCCCTCTCCTCGGACGGTGGGGAGCCAGAGCCCCCGGCTGGCTGGCTGGCTGGCCGACCGGCCGCCCCTCCCTCTCGCCTCGACGGCCCGGGAGCGCTTGGCGGACTCGCCGGCCTGGAGAGAAGGGGAGCCTGGCCCCGGGCTGTGTGTGTGTGGGAAGGAAGCTTCGTTTGAGTCCGCTCGCCTGCCGGGCCGACCCTTTGGGGGGCTGGAGGGGGGGTTGCTTGGGGAGAGACCCGCCCTGGCTCCCTTGCTGCGCCTGCGGGGAGCCCCCCCCTTGGCCGCCGGCGCTTTCTCGACGAGGTCGTGTGTCAATTCGTGCTTTTTTGTTTTTTTGGCACGGGCGGGGGTTTCTTTCTCCCTTTAATCTCCATCCGCCGAAGGAGTCTCTTCGACGCCAAAGCGTCTCTTTCCTTAGCGCTTCTTTTCAGCTCCCAGCGGAAAGCCCTTCCCGGCCTCAGAAGGTCTCTCTCCCCTCGCTTGGCGTGCCCTACCCAGGGGAGGGGTGGTTGTCCAAGGACGGCTTTTTTTGGGGGGGTCCTTAAAATGGCCTCCCTCTGACCCCCATCGGCATTCTCTTGGCGTCCTGCTTACCTGTGTGATGCTGGCCTTTAGGTATGGCTCCAGCCCTAACCTAGGGACCGAGGGCCTTGGGAATCGAGGAGGGGGCTTCCCTGTTCATGAGGACCAGAGGTTGCAAGGTGTGGGGGGTCCCTCTTCCAATGGCTTTGGAGCTTAGGATAGCTTGGGAAAAGGTGGTCTGGCTGGACTCGCCACTCCTTGTTCTCTTTTGAGATCCAGATGTTGCCCTGTTGCTTTTCAAGGAGGTGGAAGGAGCAGGAATAGTATATGAGAGCCTTGATTTTGAGCTAGGAAAGGTGAGGCAGCACAGGTGCAAAGCAAAGCATAATGCAACCGATTTTGGGAAACCCGCTTCGCTTTTGGATTTTGAATGGCGGCAGAGAAAGCTGTGTGTTGGCTCGCTTGCAGTCTCTTGCACACTTTTAATGGTCTGCAACATCTCCTTAGGAAGAGGGGTGTGTGTCCCCTTCGCTCCACAGATAACGGCCACCCTAGGTTTCATCATATCACAAAAACGTCCAGTTATCCCTATTGGCTTTCTGTGGAAAAGCCTGGTTGGTGGCATGTTCAAGCATTTATTCATTGCCCCTGCATCAGTTTGGCAGATAAGAAGAAACCGTAGGAGGATCCAAAGCGGGATTGTCTTATTACTGCAGGGTTGACTCCATTTTCTGTGGGTGGGTCTTGAAGGAATGAGAGTGCTCAATTCCCACCAGGCCACAGGCCATGACTGGTCCCCCTCCCTATGTCTGAAACATAGCTGTGTGGCTTTGGTGGCGCAGAATGGCGGCCATTCTACTCCTAAGTAAGCACACAAAGGGCTGTTAAATCTTAATGTCCCTATAGCAGCCATGGAGGAAGCTAGCTGTTGGCCACACCTTCAGCTCTTTCTGGAAACTGAGGACGACAGTGGCTCTCTCTCCAAAATCCTCTCTATTCATGGTGCTTGATGTGAAATGCACTAGCAAAGCGGCTTGTCTTTCTCTGCTGCACTCATATGGATAGGCTGAATAATGCCAATACAACATAGCTGTATATTCTGCCTTAATTTTTGTTGCACTACTTGACAGCTTGTATGATGAATGTGCTAGTGCTTATGATTTGGAAGTCTCCTGGACCAGCTTACTGGGAGAGAAAAAAAAAACATGTGGTGCATTACTTCCACTGCCTTCTGTGTCATAGATTTCCCTGGGCATATTGAAGAGAAATGTCTCTCAGTCTCCAAAATGGAGCAGGCCATTGCTAAGTTGACTGTGAGGTGTCTATTTAGATCCACAGAATACACTTGATGATGATAACATGATGGTTGATGCCCACTAAAGCCCCCCACAGTAGCCCAATATAACTGGAATTTGAAGGATATACCCTGAAGCCTCAAGGAAATTTCATTGGAAATGGTAGATTTGAATAAGTGGCTAGTCCCAGAATTTGCAAATAATCTCTCTAGCAATTAATTTCCAGTCTCCTGCATCCATTGACATGTTAGAACTGCAGAACTACAAGGGACCCTGTGGGTCACTTGAGTTCAGTTCCGGTCAATTATCTGATTGTGGCTGCTTTTTGTTAAATAAGCACTGCCACCTGCTCAGTACGATCATCTGGGTGTATTACTGCAAGTGTAGATAGAACAGAGCAATCCACGGGTGGGCAGCTAGTTAATTTCCACCTGGTGTCTGTTAATTGTTAGGATCAGAACCAAAGACTTCTTGACTTTGAGCTGAAGCCATCAAGGCTCTTTGTTAACCCCAGTGTGTGCTTAGGTTTAACTTAGATTAGTTATGCTTTAACTGCTACGAGATCTTGAGTGTGTGCCTTTGTTTTTCCCATCTTATAACTCACTGGCTGCAAGGGTAATATTAACAAATATAAATGCCACACACACAACTTGGCCATCTCTGTGATAAAGTATCATGTAGGAGCCTCTGCAGATGAAGAGGATCTTGCAGCTGGTGGTGAAGATAGTTGAAGAATTATGTGAATTTTACTATGTCCAATGCATTAACAAATTAGTTCCTTGTTCAATAATAATTGGCTTCCACTAACAACTACATCACACACAGATTGCATTTTGTGTACGTATGTATCATAACCTCTAATACCACTGCTAACAAATAGAATCATCCAAATATGCTGTTAGGGAGTCCGAAGTGTAAAAATCCAGGGAGGATAAAATAGAGTGAAATGTTTGATAATCGTCTTCCATGGCTAAGTACGGGATGAAGAGATGAAGAGCCTCTTTAGCAATACAAGCTAAAGGTGTGAAATTCCTGTTTCTGTAAGCTCAAGGAGAGAGACTCCATAGGGACGTGGTGGCGCTGTGGGCTATTCAAGGAGAGAGACTCCATTTAGGGCTGCCTACTTTGGGCTTCCCATGTGTGGCCCCGATTTGAGTCGAGGAAAATATTGTATCCAGAAGCCACATGTCTCGAATGGATTGCTGGGGGGAGAAAGTAAAGATAGAGAGAGGTCATTTGGCCACCTTTAAAAAAAAAAATCCACCTCCTGCAGAAGTTTTAGCTGTGTTTGTTGCATGCAAATGCAAGTAGATAAATAGGGACCACCTCGGTGGGAAGGTAACAGCGTTCCGTGTCTAAGTCGCACTGGCCCTGTGACCACGGAAGATTGTCTTCGGACAAAACGCTGGCTCTATGGCTTGGAAACAGGGATGAGCACCGCCCCCTAGAGTCAAACACAACTGGACAAAAAAAATTGTCAAGGGGAACCTTTACCTTTACCTAGTTCGGGCTTCCCGTGTGTGACCCCGATTTGAGTCGAGGAAAATATTGTCTCCAGAAGCCACATGTCTCGAATGGATTGCTGGGGGGAGAAAGTAAAGGTAGAGAGAGGTCATTTGGCCACCTTTTAAAAAAATCCGCCTCCTGCAGAAGTTTTAGCTGTGTTTGTTTTGTATATATATATGCTACTCCCCCTCCCAGACGATGGGAATTAAGTGTATCAAATGATAATGTAATTTTACGCTGAAAAATAGGAAGATGGATTGCAGTGAGTGACCAGTAGTGGTGCATATATTAAAATAGAAGTGGGAGGGGGTAGTTGATGCACCAGATTGTACATGGTCGGTGTAGTCATTCTAGGAAAGGTAGAGTTAGCTATGATGTTCACTGTGGTTTAACAAGAATGGAAAGTGTGTGTCCCTCCAGATGATGCCAGACGGGATGCGAACCTCACCACAGACCATGTGGCTCAGGGCTGATGGGATATGTAGTTCAATAGTACTTGAAGGGCCATATGGCCCCCGCCCTTCTACTGTCACCATCTGCCCAAACTTAGTGTCTTCTAGAATGTTTTGCACTGCAATTCTCATCCTTGGCTCTATTGGTTGAGGATGGAGGGAGTTACAGTCAACCCTCTGGAGTGCACCAGGTTGGGAAAGATACAGTTTACCTCTGCCCACCGATAAAGTGATATGAAGTAGAAACTATTAGTAGAAATAGATTTCTACAAATCAGGTCTGCTCTATTTCCTCTATTGGAAGGGTGTTACAACTGAAGAGTGATGTTTTCCATCATGGTAGAAGAGTAAGATCAATTCTCCCGGTTACAAGGAAGTCTATGGTGCAGGATGCAGAAATTAAGGAGTAAAATGACCATTTTGAAAAATCTTCAGCTTCCCGGTTAGATGATATTTAATATGACCAACAACCAACGCTCAGAGCAGTTGGTTCTGGACTCTTAATTCCCAGAATCCCTGGCCACTATGGCTGCAGGATTTTGCGAACGGTGCTCCCAACATTCTGACAAATATGTATAAAGCAAGTTTATGGCCTATAATCCATTTTGGTGCACTAGTAGTAGTAGGCATCCTTTAGTCTCGAGAGACTAAGGTAACGTGCTCTGAGTAGAGGTCTTGGAACAGCGTCTAGTGTGGCTGAGAAGGCCAATGTGAGAGAAACCATCCCTTCTACACTTAATATAAATACAATCTGTCCCCTGTTCCGGCTCCCTGGTTTTGCTGATTTCGGGTCTGCCTCTTTGCTTGGTGCACCATCTCGCATGTATAATTAGCCATCGTTTCAAGGAACACCAAATACAGAGTTGTGTGAGTGTAAAGTTTCTTCTCCAAAGAGCATGATCCTGGTGCCCTGGACTTGCCTTCCTGTGATATTTATAGCCATCCAAGGGACTTGGCTGCTCAAACATTATTTCCCATTGTCCCAGGAAAACACAGGAGTCCACAGCAGAACGGGCACGGGAGGGGGTGGGGAGAGAGTACATCTTCTGCTCCATAAAAGTGCCTTGTATGGAAATGAAATCTGAAAAAGGATCCATGTTGTCTTT